CGGGCTGGGACGCAGGCCCGCCCGGCGCACCGGCTGCCTGCCGCCACCTCTGCGAAACGGGGCTAAAACCGGGGTTGTTGGGGCCGGAGGCAAAAATAGCGAGCGGGGCGTAAGCCCTCCCGCTGGGCTTAAAGGTTGCCCCGAGGAAGGACGGGCGGGTTTGAATGTTGGCTGCGTTAGCGCAAGAAAGAAGGGTTGTAACGGCACCCGAAACAGGGCGCCGTAGGCATCAGCACAAGCCTTCGAAAAACTAAAAACGCTTAAGTTTCGAAACATGCGAGGAGGACAGCAAGTTCTTTACACTTTAAGGCCTCAAAAAAGTTAAGAGAAACATCTCTCAGGGTAAGTTTAGTCCATGCCTGGCTAAGCAGCTTTATGAAACGGGTGGCACAGCCCTGCAGGGCGCGAGGCAGTCTGAGCGCCTAGCGCCGAAAGGGCCAGCCACACTGACTGCGGAGCAGAGGAGTCCTGGCGCGAATCCGTGAGTCCGTTCGGTAACGTACCTTGTGACTTTTGGCTCAGGCCGCTTTCCGCTTAAGCGTGAGGAGCCAACCTCGGGATGTTTGAACCTGTAGTATAGTTGATTCATGCAGGGATCAGGAGTCGCTGGCCTCTTTGGGAGCTAAGAATGGTCTGGATAATTTCTCAAGCTCCCCAGTAGAATACCTCTTTCCTGTGAGTTTGTTGAAAACAAGCAGGCTTCTACACAGGGTTTAATTAGGCTGTTGAATATATTGCTGCAGGGGTTGTTAAGACTCCAGAATATCTAATTATCATAACTGATTTAATTTCCTTTCTATTTTTTCCCGCTCATATTTTTGGCATTATATCCATTTGCAGAATAAATTGATAATGAAATATTTGGTGGATGCCGATTACTTTGTGTTTGCTTGTTGCAGGATATTTCTGTATTTTTCTCTGATCTAACTGTTACTGGGAGTAAGAGAGGATTCTTTGTTTGTTTAACTTGGGTCTGAAATATAATAACAATTTACTATTCCAGAAAAATAGCTATCCTTAAATAATGCAAGTACTGTATTTGTGCCTTAAGACTAAAACTGGATTTAGTGAGCTACCCAGTCCCATCCTCTGCTACTGCAGGTAGCCCTCTATTCATTCTTACTTGAATCTGCTATCTTCTGGTAAGAAGACAATTTTAGGTTTTTTGTTTTTTTTTTTTTTAACAAATCTTAAAATATAAAAGTGTATAAATATATGTAAAGTAACATGCTGAAAAACCCTTTTTCTTCAGTGTTAAACATTCATACTCCTCTCTCTCCCAAAAACCTAAACTAGCTAGTGACAACTTGATGTTGGGTTGGTTTGTTTGTTTTTTTAAAAGGGTAGAGTTCATCTTTAACACTGTGAGTATGCCTTAAACATAACATTATTTGTAAAAGGGGAAACATTTTTTAAAATAGAATTACTGTCTTTTTTTTTCCCAGATTTTAAGGGAAGGAATTTATTCTGCAGAACTGGTTGAATAGTTAAAGTAGCATGTTCTTTTGGTTTTGAAATATTTTAGGAAGGCAGCAAATTCTTTATGCTTTAAGACTTCAAGAAAGTTAGAGAAACATCTCTCGGGATAATTTTAATATGTAGTCCACTCTTGACTATTCTACTTTACAGCCATGTAAGACGTGTGCAGAGTATTTTCAAAAAATCCCTAAACGTGAAAGCTGTTCAGCTTTCACTAAAACTTTCAGCAGGCATAGCAAGCTTCTAATTCCCCCAATTTTAAATCTTCTCTCCCCCCCTGCCCCACCCAATGATCTGATGGGCACAGGGTTAGGAACATAGTTTCTTTACTTTGGAAAAGGCAACTTGCAAATCACATAAGAAGAAAAC